CCTCTTTGCCAGTAAAAAGGGTCTCCGGTTCTCTACACTCACCATACGAAACACAGTAGCGTTAAGCTGCTATTTTACGCTGGTTTTCTGTGAGAGCGTGGTCCTTCCCCGGTCGAGCCGACCCATTCGTGCTACAACCATAATATAGCTGCAGCATGGCTGTATACATGTACGTAAATTACGTACATGTATACAATGTAAATGTATTTGAGAGACTAGGCTATTTATTTAAAGTGGATGATTAGGATTGTCACCCCCCAACCCACCACCACTTATTCACTTTACAATAAGGGGGAACCCCTACCACACTATCTTGTAAATCTTATGCACTCCACAACGATGAGTATGAGGTTTCAACGCAAGATTTTAGGTACTTTGACAGCACATTTAGATGTTTGAATTGAGGAATTAAAAAAAAAAACAAAAGCCCAGTAACATAAATTCGTTATTCAAAGTTAAAAAAAATCAGAATGTAGTGGCGGTGTAAGATTATCTCCACTACCCGATTGAGTCCTGCGGACGTCGTAAGAGGGGCCAGAGGGAAACTGAAACAGGAGATTTATACGTGGTAGAGCCCCTGCAGCTAATGCTAATGAGGCCCATAGACATCAAATCAGACTCGATTAGAAATCAAAATGTATATGATATTACTTCTGAGGACTTAGATGGGAACACGTTACCAGCAAAAAGGGTTGGGCCGAGACAAACTTCTGTCGGTCTACACTGCCTCCGCTGATAAAACCATGGTTCTCTGGCGCATGCACCTAAGGAGGAAGCGGACTTATTTGCTTCTCTTTTTGCTTGCAATTCGCGTCTGAACAATAGCAACAGCGTACCATCTCAATTACCTCACTTGGGTACCTCTATGTCAGAAGTCCGTATCACCAACAAGAACATTCTTAAAACATTGCGCAGTCTAGACATAAAGCTAGTGGACCTGATGGTATATCAGCTATAGTTCTAAAGGTCTGTGCACCTGAGTTGTCTCCAGTGTTGACGCGCTTGTACCGCCTCTCGTTGAGGACTGGAATGGTGGTCAAATCTTGGAAGCTGTGCCGGACCAATGTGCAGCCTGTGCCTAAAAAAGGTAGTCGTACCGACCCTGCCAACTATCGGCCAATTTCAATTACCTCCATACTCTGCAACATTATGGAGCGTATATTGAACAGCCACCTCATGGCATACCTAGAGCAGAATGATCTCCTCAGTGACCACCAGTACGGGTTTCGCCGAAATCGATCAACTGGGGACCTTCTAGTGTGTTCACGCACCTAGCTGTCCCTACAAAGGTCTACCATACAGGGGCCCATACAGCTGTTAGGTTCGACGGACAACTAAGGACGGGACCCAACTGGCCTTATGGAAAATGTCCTATCCTACTACACAATAGGGAGAAGGCTAGGTGAATAAATAGTACGTACCTGTTCAGAGGCGAAGAAGGCTCCCAGGGCTCGTTCAGGCGTAATTGTCGTGAATGTGAGTAGTGTGTGAGAAGTGTATATCTGTGTAATCTGAATTAGCCCTTTTAATCAGCAGCCACCCTGACTCCGACACCGCCGCCCGGCGTGGTATTCTCCAGCGGCGGCAGCAATGGACTATTTCTTTCTTCAATTCACTATGTCAGTCTATCAACTTTATCGTACATTTTTTTATAGGATAAGGGTAACAAACGAGCACACAGTCCACCTGATGGTAAGTGGTTGCTGCGGCCCATAGACATCTACATCTATCCTCTATTACAAATCAAAATATAGATGCGTTGTCACCCGTGAGGACTAAGATGGAATGCCTCATTTCCAGTAAAAAGGGCCTCCGGCCACCTGCACTCACCAAGCGAAACGCAGAGGTAAACCGCTACTTCACGCTGGTTTTCTGTGAGGTCGTGGTACCACCTCGGTTCGAGCCGGCCCATCCGTGCGACAGCAAAAGCTGCCGCGTGGCTCTACCACTGTTAGAAACTTCAAGACGCAACTAAATCCCGTTAATTATAATCAAAAAACGTAACTCGCGACACGACGGATGACCGGTGGGTCAAAGTTCACTGACGTTCACTCCGCAACAAATTATTTCGAAAACCGAACGCGACCTTTTAAGGCGCTTAACGCAACGGTACAATTAAACACTAACTTCTCAATAATTAGCCAACCTGGCGTCTAATGTTCTAGGCGCTATTAGAGGCAACCACGAGGCTCGATTCGACTCACAGCAATGCCCGGCCGCCGCTTGACGACAAAAAAATACCCGATCTTCCACGCGCTCAGCGCGTGCGGGGAGGCACCAGCAAGCCGCGTGCCCGCCGGTGCTAAGTACATCGAAGAAGCGCGCTAACGCGCCTCCGTTATAGTAATTTTAAATTTTCGCGTTTGGCGCAAACATACCCCCGTCCCGGGCATAAAGACTTATGTCCGCGAGTAAATTGGCAAACGAGATAGGGTCGCGACGGCACGTTGCAAGACCGAATCTCCAACCAAAACCTCGGCCACTCTAGGCACCCCATCCGATCCATACGACAACTTAACAATACGCCCACGGCGCCAATACAAAGGCAAAGCGTTAGGTTCTTTAACTAACACGAGGTCTCCAACCCGAGGAGGATCCGTCTTGTCAGACTACTTAATGCGCTGCTGCAAAAGATGTAGGTACTCCAGAGACCATCGGTGCCAAAAACTCTGAGTCATCTGTTGCAGCAGGTCAAATCTGCTCAGCCGCGAAGAGTTTACTTCCCTGAAGGGGTACTCGGGTAGGGCGTTAAGCGGCTGGCCAATCAGGAAGTGTCCCGGGGTTAGAACCTCCAAATCATTCGGATCGGACGAGAGTGGACAGAGGGGCCGAGAGTTGAGTACCGCCTCAATTTTACAGAATACAGTGGCAAGCTCCTCAAACGTCAAAATAATTTCGCCAATAACGCGACGGAGATGCGTTTTTGCAACCTCAACCACCGCCTCAAAAATACCGCCACAGTGTGGGCAAGCCGGAGGGTCGAATTTCCACTGGATGCCCTTCTTGGACATCGCAATACCTAAATACGTCCTGTTGTTGGACAGAAATTCGACGGCCTCTTTCAAATATCTATCCGTGTCCTTATAATTCGTTCCGCAATCAGACCGGATCAGGTCCGGCAGACCGCGACGCGATACGAAGCGGCCCAGCGTGGCCACAAAGGCTTCAGTGCTGAGGGCACTTACCAGTTCCCTCAATTAGCGCGCTAGAAGCTACCTAGCTGGAGCTGCCTCCATCTGACCGGCCCTCGAACCGGGGGTCCGGAAAGCGGCATTCCGGCGGCATCTCAACGACCCGTGGTTGCCAACTCACCAAATGGGCCGACCTGGGGAAATTTGGGGAACCTCGGCCTTAGGGCCCGGGACAGTCTTGAGGTCGCCGGAACCTGGTGGTACCGGTATCGACCAAAGGGAGGAGGGTGGTACTCCAGTCGCGGCCGCTCAGCTAACGTGGGTGAGGCGGTTCTAGCTGACCGCTGAGTGGCCGCGAAGCTAGAAGCGAAGAGGGGGAGTGACCCCCCGACTGGTCGGGGGAGGGACCCCTTTCAAACCCAGGGGCACGGTGGCCGGCAGGCGAGCGCCGAGCGTCACCTGCCAGGGGGCGCGGCTGAGCACCCCCACCCGTGGGAGTCGAGGGCCCGGCAGAGCTCCAAGAGGAAGTGCCGTTCGCACCCAAGCACAAAACGGCATGGTAATTGCCCTGGCAGTGCGGACAGGGCCGCTGGTGCTGGCAGTCCCTTAGGAAGTACCTTTTCAGGCAAGAGTAGCACCAGCGGCGCTCCCTGGCGATGGTTCGCCTCGCCGGGACCGGCTTCCCTAGATACTTTGGGCAGGATGTCACCCGATGCTCTGATGCCCGACAATAGGAACAGGAGGGCGCCTCCCTGGCCGCTAGTCCGCTATAAGAGGGTAGGGGGCGGCGCCCTCACGCGGGAGCTCCGCTCAGCCTTAGGGAGGTTGGCGACGCCTTGCTCGCCGGCTTACGCCTCTAGCTGGGCACCGCTCGGGCGACAACCTTGGGATTCTCGACGGCGCCTGCTGCGTTCTCCATCTGCCTACACTGCTCCTCCAAGAACCGCAGCAGGTCCCTGAAGGGAGGAATATAGGAGGCGCCGTCCCCGTCGTACCTCTCCTCGAAATGGAGCCGAAGGTCGAGAGGCAGGCCACCGGTAAATCCAGCCGCCTCAATGAGTTGCAAGCCACCACGACTGGATTTACGATGTCCGTACGTAGTCTGGTCTGGTCCTTAAGCCGCAGGAGGTTTAGCAGCTTCCGAACGTAGTCGTCCGCAATCCGCCGGACGTTGGCGTACCTTCCAGCGAGGAGGTCCCGAGCATTCTGGTAGACGTCGTACGACAATTTCAGGTGGCCGACGATGCCCAGGGCCTCCCCCTCCAATGAGACTAGGAGGTACCCCATTTTCTGGCTGGGTGTCAAGTCCCTCCGGGCGTCCACCAGGCTGTCAAACAAACCAACGAACGTCAGCCATTCGGAGAGGACCCCGGAACACCTTGGCAGGTCCAGTGTCGGGAGTCGTCCTAACAGCTCCGGCTGAGTAGGCTGCTTCCGAGGAGACTCGGACATGCCCCTCAGGCTAGCTTCCTCCGCATCATTGGCCCCCGCCTCGATCAAATCGTCCGTGAGCGAAAGGAACTGCTCGTAGTCCGCGCGGCAGGAGTCCAGGACTCCCTTTTCCACTTCCGAGTCCTCGAGCTCAGCGTAAGTCTCCTCCACTGCGGCCCTTCGAGCATCGCCCGTCGAAGTTTAATAGCTCATTAGAGTCAGGTAGAGTTTGATCTCAACTTAATGGCAGAAACGGCAACAGATAGATATATAAATAAGACAGGCCTTAATCGACCAATCGAAAACAACCCTAAACCGAGGATCACGTATGCGTAGATACATGGATGTGAAAAAAAGCAAGAGAGGTGCCGCCACTACACGGCTAATAATAAAAAGTGCAAACCACACTACATTTGGAGACAATAAACTGCAACTTACCTCTCCAGTTCTGATTCCCCTGGCGAGGTCGGTAGCGCTTCGCATCAGCAGTGGATCGCGTATGGGCGGCAGACGGCGAGAGTCGCGCGCCCTCAGCCAGTATAGCGGAGCCAGCAGTACGTTCAGCACGCGGAGCACCACGCCGATCAGCCAAACCACCACCTCCATGCTAACGAAATATAATTATTAGAATAACAGATAATTGATCATTGATGGTACTAAGACACTATTAAAGTACACAATTAAAGTACCGACTTCAGAAGCTGTTATATGGAGGTTTTTTTATAGAATAAGTGGCAAACGAGCACACAGTCATCTGATTGTAAGTGGGTACTGTAGCCCAAAGACATTTACTTTTAACTTCAATTAAGAATCAAAATGCAGATGCGTGCAGTCCTGAGGACTAAGATGAAACAGCTTTTTTCCAGTAAAAAAGGTCGCCGGTTCTCTACACTCACCATACGAAACACAGCAGCAATAAGCTGCTATTTTACGCTGGTATTATGTGAGAGCGCTTCCTACCCCGGTCGAGCCGACCCATTCATGCTACAAGCATAATATAGCTGTAGTGTGTCTCTACCACGTAAAAGTTTATTTCTTTTTATTATCATTCTTTCTATTTCTTTAAAGTCCACATTTACTTGAGCCTTTTGAGGTTAACAACTAAACCGTCGTCTTAATAGTTACATTAAAACCACCACCCACGTTTAGGGATTTTTTGCAGAAATGTATATTGGACCACAATTAAAAAATAACTTGTTCAATAAAAACTGAACATCAAAATCGGTTCACATTTGACGAAGATAGTTACTAACATAAAGAAAAAAAGAAATGAGAACCGACGCCTTTTGAGGTTGGCTAAAAATCAAAATTTATATTTAAAAATAAAATTTAATATTCGAAGAAAACCTTCCAAATAAAAGTTCATTTTAAAATATTAAAATGATAAGATATAATTTTTGTGTCAACTTTATACAATGTCATGTCTCGCGGTGGAATAATAGTACCTTGTAATTATTTTTGGCTTGCTACCTTTCCCAGTCAACTACAGTATAGCCGAATTTTCCACGTAGCCTCTACGCAATGCAACTTAATCAGTAAACTGAAGTAGCAATGAGTCGGCTAAATATAGCTCAAAGAACCGACAAACGACATAGAAGAAAGGTTCCCAAGTGTTAGACTCGTATCGTTATGAGAAGTGTAGGGCTGCCCACCAGACGGACTGACGACCTGGTAAGAGATGTAATGGGATTCTGATGTTGGTGATTAAACCCCATAAACATGTTTTTCTTAAGACCGTGAAACCCTTAAGTTTTTTAACTACCCATAGACAGTTGCCTACTTTGCCTTGAGGTAATATTATCATGTCGCACAATAATTTACAATGGTTGCGTGCCGTAGTCTATACATATATACTTAACAACATCTTTAGGATAAAACGATGTGTAACGTGCGAACAGTTGTTTCGCTGGTCGCTGCCCCTAATTAGCATACTTACCATTTAAATGGCGAGGATTTTTTATAAATATTCTTCTAGTAAATATTTACCTCGCGTAGTGTGAAATATTTCGGCTAGCGTTAAGCGCTAGTACCATAAGGTACTAAGACAATTTTTTTTAAATATTTATCCCACTTGTTGATGGCTCTTCTAGATAGGTAGAGCAATAAAACATTTTATGTTGTGTGCGCAAAATTGTCTATGGACGAGTATGATAACTAATCAGGCGAACTCCTAGGTAGAAAATCCTACAATCTAAAGAAATATTCGTTACTAAAAAATACTCTAACTTTTCTCTTTGAATCAAGTAGATATTTTCAATTTTTTTAACTAAAAGAAACGTCACTTTGATTTGCTCCTTTAGCGTGAAGACGTTTTACATACATAAATAATAATTGTACATGGTAGAGTCGCGCTACCGCTGTATTACCAATTGGTCAGCTCGACCGGGGAAGGACCACGCTCTCACAATAAACCAGCGTGAAATAGCACCATAATGCTTCTGTGTGTTCTGTGTATGGTGTGTAGAGAACCGGATACCCTTATTACTGGAAATGACGCATTCTACCTGTAAGTACTTAGGAGCGACAACACATCTGCATTTTGGGTCTTAATAGATAATAAAATTAAGGTGAACTGTGTGCTCGTGTGTCAGATACTTACTGCGTGTGAGAATTGGACCTGCGCCGTGTCGCAGTTAAATACGAACCGTGGTAGCTCAGGGGCTGAGCACTCGCTGTAAATTTCACAGTACGCTCGCAACCCGGGTTCGATCACCACCGGCATCAATGAAATTATAAATTGCAATTTTAAGTGCTAATATACCACGTGATCGGCGTTGAAGGAAAACATCGTGAGGAAACCTGCATGTCTGAGAAATAAGAAAAAAAATTCGAAGGCATGTGAGGTTTGCCAACACGTATTGGAGCAGCGCGGCGGATATTTCCTTGCCCTAAAAAACTCACAGGAATGAGAGGAAGCCTGTGCCCAGAAGCGATACGTATATATAGGCTGCAACTTTAAATTTTATACGAACTATCCCCTCCATTAGTCACATCTAATATCCCGGTTATTCATTAGTGAGAGTGTAATTAGCAAGAAAGGAATTTTAGCGAGCGCTCTGTCTCTAAGTATGCAGTTATTGGCTATCCACTTAGAAGCCCATGTAATTGATTGGATTTTTGCAGTATTGTTTTGGAGATCCCTATTGTTCGTTTCAATAGAATCATCGTCATCATCATCATTATAGCCCCATTACAAGTCCACCGCTAACAAAGACCTCCCTCAAGTAATGCCACAAAGCACGGGCCTTAGTCACCTGTATCCTAAGAGAGAATACGGCATTAAATTAATACGTAAGAGACGGAACTGGCAGAGTTATTTTTGACTAGTCTTTAAATTAGTAAATGCCTAAAAATATAACTTAAAAATAAAACGGTAGCATACTGCGCAGTAACTAAGCATTACAGCCGTGGTGTTAAAGATCCCCGCACGGAAAAATAATTAGCATACGAAAAAAAATTGGGACTGTGAATTTGCAACTTCCACGACTTTTATAAAAAATTAAAAATAAAAACGGTTACGTTGAGCCTTTTTCTCCTCTGTAATGTATACTTTAATACCATAACCTACAAAGTATCAGAACAATATTCTAGAAATGTGTATCCACACTGTCATTGAATATTAGCACCATAACTGCTCTATAGTCTACACTCTACAGGAATAACTCCGTCCTTGTTACGTTCATTTAAATTTAATGAAACACATTTTGTTTCCTATAGTTAGCACTAAGTTCTAAGTTTATGACGGCACTTTACAAAAGGCTTAAGCTTTCTTTCATGTTAACGACTTCTGTAAGACATGTCAGACTTGAAGAGGCGGGTATTATTTTTTTATTAGATAACAAACGATCAAACATTTCAGGAGATGGTAAGTGTTTATAGCAGCCCTGGACACCTAAATACCTAATTAAAACAATGACAACTACTGCGTTGTCTCTCCTGAGGACTAAGATGAAATAACCAAAGCAGTCTGTCACTGGGTAACTGACATTATCATAAATGAATTATCTCATCATATAATTTTATACGTCAAGTACTTTTCAAAGTATCTCAAAACTTTGTCAAATTTCCATCTAAAGTTAAATTGAATTTGTATCATTAAAAATATGCAAATAGGATACAGTAGACATTAGTAGAGTAACGACGGCACTCTACTTTTCGACTTACTTCGAAGGCAAACTAATCATTCTTACAACGGGATAGGTCCATATCCAGCAGTGGGCTTTTCCTGCCTGACTAAAAAGAAGAATACAAATAGAATACTATTACAAAAAATAAACATTAAAAAAATTAATAACTGACTTCAAACGCGAAATAATTTAAAACTAAAAATTTTGTGCAACCGACTTCAATATAAATTATTAAGAATAACTTAAAAACTATTTGGTCAGACCTTGATCAATGACAAGCACCAGCTTTCAAATAAAAAAAGAATCATCGAAATCGGTTCACCCAGACATATGTTATGAGGTAACACACATAAAAAAAACATACAGTCGGATTGAGTACCTACCGTCTGCATGTTGAAGTCGGTAGAAAAATAATAATTTGCACTTGACAGCTTCTAAAGACGGTGTTACGAGATATGTATATTATTAACTTTGGCGTCTCAGTATACTCGTATTATTAGGAAAACTTATTGTATGTTCACAAAAACAAAATAAGTTTTATTAAAAAAAAAAGTGATATGCACTCTGTAAACACTAGGAACAAACACAAGCTAGTGATACCAGTTTCTTGACTCCACAAAGTCAATAATTCATTCTTGGGGCAATGTAAGAGTATACGCTATTACAACAAGGTCCAGGAAAATATACAAGGTCTCTCTATTACGACATGACCAACGGTTTCTTTAATCATGTACCAAGTTTAAATATTTTACTAAATCAAAACTGAATAAACATGGTTATTATAATATAAATGAATACATGTTTGATCATAGCCCCTGGGCATGAGGTGGTCGCTTCCAGGCTGTTTCTAAAATAAATTTTGTAAATAATTTGTACAACCTTTCGTATTGTAAAATTTACTTTAAAAAACGTCCCGCTGTGTTTTTTACTGGTTCTTTCCAGAACAGAGGTTTTTTTTCCGAACCAGTGATAAAGTAAAAAATGACTCAATAAGAATTACATGTGATCTACATATTCATTTCTTTCATTTTTTTTCTAAGAGACTCGGGTTTAGGTTGTAAATAGCTCTTATGGCCCTTTTCTGAAAAACAAATATAGTTTCTAAATTATCCACATTTTCCCATAGCAAAATCCCATAAGGCTTTATGCTATGGAAATAACTGAAGTAAACTATTCAAGCTGTCTCGACACTAGTGAGATCTCTAATCTTTTTTACAGCATAAGATGCAGTTAGCCTACTCGCTAGTTGGGATATATGGGGGCCCCAGTAAAGATTTGCGTTAAGTGATGGCAAGGAAAAACGTGGATTCGACAGGACTCAGTTTTTCCCTATTTAAAAACGCATCGGTATTCAGATTTTTAACATTTATGGTGCTGTAAATTTAATACATTTCGTTTTATTGTCGTTTAAATGTAGATTATTAACTTTAAACCATTGCACTAATTTTGATATAGCATTATATGGGAACATCCTTGAAA